AATATTAGAAGTGAATTGACCCGACCCGTATGGAAGCGGGTAAGTGGTGGGGCAAATAGGAGTGATGTATCAATTGGGAAGGCAACAAGAGAAGAGAGTGAGGGGCGGAGAATGATTGAGAAGGGACTTATTTTTCCTTTTCGTAAATGGTATTTGTTGCAAGCCACAACGTTGAGCCATGTGCAGCGTTTTATTTTTATTTTTATTTTTCATTTGAAATAGGAGTATTATTTCATAAATGAGATGGACCCTACCACACTTTGATAACAAAAAAAAAATAAAATAAAATAACTGTTGTTCCCATAAACGTCTTACATTTATAAATAGCAATTCTAATATTATTGCTAACCTAAGCATATAACTATGTCTATTTCTACCTTTTAAGGTGCGGTAGATTTGAATGTTTATATACATATTCGTGATGTAATATTTTTAAGATGCGTTAATTAGTTTTCTCATAAACTCTCAATTTCATCACATTGTACATAAAATTAGATAATGTTGTAATATTCATCTTAAAATCTTAAAAAAAAAAAAATTGTAATTTTTAACTTTTGATAGGTTTTGGTTTGAATAATTGTTGAAAAAAAGTATTATCATAGAATATATATTTAGTACGAAATTGATAAGATTTATAAATAAAGTTAGGTTTTTTCTTTTGGTTGAAATTTATAGGTTTTCGCTCAATTATTTAATGGATGCATAATCAAATTTAAGTTTGTCCCAATTTTGATTTTCAGTATGTTATTGTTGAGTTTGGAGTTTTTTTTTTAATATTTATTATTTGTTAAAATTATTGAGTAAATTAATAAAAATTGAATAGCATGTAAAAATTATCATACTTATCTAAATCTAAGGTCCAATAGGATTGAAAATTCATGGTAAAAATTAATACAACTATATACTTTTGTTTTTGTTTTGTTATTTTAGTATAACAAATATAGGTAGAGATTCGAATTTACTATCTTCTAGTTGGAAAAAGGTGTCTAAATTAATCGAGCCATGCTTTCTCCTAACTTTTTTTAATTTATTTTATTTAAACTTGTAATTTTAAATAGCATTGAAGTGTGTTATTTTTAATTTTGAGGTGGAAGAGGATTTTTTTCGTTTGTTAGGCTAAAGCTCTCCAGTGATCCGTAAGGTCATCTCAATTCTCAACTCACGAGCTAGTTTTGGGGGAAAAAATGGAAAATGAAAAATGAAAAAACACGTGGCAGTTAAGATCGGATCGGATGGCGTGGAGGGTGCCAGCGTGTAAAAAGAGAAGATTAGGAAAATGTTGTGGAAATGGAAGGGAAGTAAAAGAAAAGTAGGTTTGGCTTACTATAAGATCTGCAAAAGATTTGTAGGCGAAAGGAATAAAGAGCCATGACGTCGTTTTACTTTTAAAAACAAAATACCAAAACTATTTGCTGCACAAATTTATGCAAATCCTTCTCTCTCATTCTTTATTATTCATCATACTCCGTTACTAACATTTAATAATAACAACTATATATCAATTAATTACGTAAAATGTTAAACTTTTTAGATTTTTGAAAAACATAAAAAATATATTTTCTTCTTTTTATATTTCTCTATCACGGACCGTCAATGGTGTTGACGAATATATTGTTTTCGAAACATTTATATCAAACCTCTTCGATCGAGTGGCGTCAATGAGTATTATGTCACTATGGTACAATTAACTCTCTCGAAAGAGATTGAAACTGGATAATTTTATGTGGCTAGTTTGTATATTTTCCATATATTTGTTTATTTTCTTCTTGGATTACCCAAGAAAGAAAAGTGAGTCAGCTCAGCACATTTTCTGATCGAGGAATATCAATATGGGAGGGGTGGAGCCATCTGATCTTGTCTATGAGAATACCAAACAAACCAAATATGGGTTATACACCTTTAGATGACTTTCCTAACTTATTTATTGGTACACAATTTATATAAATACAAGTTACACCATTTTCAAACCTTCAAATTTCAAATCTCTTGGTAAATTATCAAATATTCTCATGAATAGTTGTTTATCACTATAATATAAGGTGGCCTATTCTTGAACTGTTTGAACAACAATTTCCCACAATAAATGGGCACAAGGTTGACTTGAAAGAACTTTCGATTCCAAAAGTATCGAAAGTACTTTTTATTCTTCCTCGTTTAGGGCTTTATCCCTAACAAAGACATGTGATGTCTTTCAATATTTCTTTTTTAAAAAATAAATTGTAGGAAGAAAACAAATCATTTAAAAATGACAAAAAGTAATGCCCTTTTTAATATAAAAAATAAATTTCAAATACATCTCTAGAAATGAAACTAATGTTAACTTTTTCTCATGGCTTGGCTTGTGTGTTAATTATATATGGCAACACAATTAGTTTACTGGAAGGATGCTAGAAAATATCCAGCTTTCTAGATTGATATAATAAATGACTTTAAAATAATTTTCAATTTATAGATATTTTGATTTTTTTAAAAGAAAAAATTGGCTGCATTTTGTAAACTTCGACATAGTTCGACTAATTATTGCATGTATATTCGACTAAAATATCATAAATTATAATCTCCAGCTTAGAAAATCATCGTAAACAAACCAAAAAAAAAAAAACACTCAATTTTTAAGTGCCCAGGTCAGTTCAGCTCAGTACAAATGTCTCTATCAATGGTCTCTTCAAAACCAAGTTTTTTATAATGCTTCAAAATCCAAGTTAAAGACGATTAGATATTAAAAAAATTAAAGACATATTATTAATAAATCATCAAAATCTAGCCAACAAAATTACTTAACATCTAGTAAAAAAAATCCTAAATTCCAACCATAGAAAATTTGCTATCCAACGTTAAAATATGAATAACTGCAAAAGTAACATTAGACTTCATGAAAAGTTGAAGTAATGTCAATAAAAATTCATCAGAGAAACTTCGACTTTGAGGTCGAGGATGCATTTTCTATTTCTTACGTCTTTTTTAATAGGAATTTCCCACCAATAGAAGGCCAAACCTCGTGGAAATTTGACGGGATGAGAACCTCTGCCATCTATATATATGCAGGGTTGAAGTCAGTAAATTTTCTAAAAGAGGGACAAAATTTTGCATGACCACGTTTATTTACGGAATCTTTAGGTTACATATTCAATATATAAATTAAATTTATTCAATCAAATTTAAAATTAAACGATGATTTATTCGTTCTTATTACGATATTAAAGTGAAAATTCAAACCCTACATCGTTTATTTCCTTCTCATTTGATAGAAATTTAGAGAAGGAAGTTTAAAAAAGGCAATGGAAGTGGGTGGAGGTGGCTGCATGCAGTTGGTTGGGAGCATGGTCTTTATTCTTCTTCTTCCTCGATGATGGTGCTGTTGACTTTTGGATCCAATATTATTCGTATTCCAATTAATAACACACAGTGCCCTTCTCTTCAGCTTCCTCCAAATTCCCCGTTCAATTAACGTTGGACTCTCTGAAACAAACCCTCCAATTATTCACTTCACTTTGGCCTCACATGCCCACCACACTCTTCTTCCTTTCTTCCATACTCCTCTTCTTTATTGGCGAATGATTAACCACTTTCTTCATTATTCAATTATTTTTTTCCATTCCCTTTTCTCATTTGTTGGTTTTTTTTTTCTTTTCTAAAAACAAACGTATCGTCAAAATGGGTTTCAAAGAAGCAAGTTTTTGTATTATAACCCATTTCATAATACGTCAAAAGGAGAAACCAACAGATTTTGGTTGAGGATTCGTATTATTATGTAATCAAAAGTAGAGAGTTTGGTTTTGTTGGATGGATCATGAAGGGGAGCGGAAGCACGTGATGGCTTCACATTAACTAGTGGAAGGGTTAGAATTTAAAGGTCAAAATTAAACAAATACATATCATGTGATTCAGATATCTTTTTGGATTTTACACAGCCTGAAAAGAGAGAAAAACAAGTCGTGCAGCGTCTGATTCAAGAGGGAGAAAGAGAAATAAAGTGCTTTTACTTTTGGGGTTTGCTTAAAAGTAAAGGGTTGTTAGAAACTCGAAACATGGCAACACCAATTACCAAAACATTTGTTTAAGTTTTTAACTTTTTGCCTTGGGGCTTATAAAAGCAAAGGAAAAAGAGTGGCAGAAAAAGCTAAGAGAAAATCTGTGCTTTTGGGTTTAAACCATTTTGCAGGTTACACAGAAGCTAGCTGGCTAATGGGTAGGCTTGTGGACCTGGTTTTTAGCAGACTGTATCCATGAAAATTGGCAGACTTTAGAGTCTCAATTCAAATCATGAATCTCAAAACAATAATAATAATATGATGCTAATTAAAACAGTCCTACTTCTGATTCATATATCAGACTCTGGATTGGAAATTAAAGGGTTATCTTATATTTCATCCTGTCACCACATGCTTATTTGTTTTATTATTATTCTTTTTTTTATATATGTGTTCGGGTCAGTTTGTAAGCACTTGACTAATCATGTGAGCACCTTGACTAATTTCGAACTAACCGTCTTACCCTATTGCATTTGGAGGTAACTCGAATATTAAATCCTAAGTAGTTGACTACACCATGATTTATACTCATTCACTCCCTTTGCTATTTACAATGGCTCTTATTGACCATTAGACCATCCACAATGTTTCATGCTTATTTGTTTTATTATAAACTGAGCAGTAAAAACATTTTGTCCTGCCATTTCAATTATTGTATTGTAACTGGTACGATGTCATAGTCAGATAATCTTTTTACATTTGAACTTCAAGTACTTAAACAACCCTATGATAATAAAGAAATGGTTCCCATCAAAGATCAAACTAACAGAACCAATATTATTCCGCAAAAAAGTGTGGCAATTTTGATGAACACCTTGCACCACTGAGAGCAGTGCTAATAAAATGAAGTCTACGGTTTCCATGATTATGGGAATACATAATTGCCTGTGTACTCGGTTAAAGAAAACTAGGTTACTAAAATTTGTCACACAGAAAGGCCTTCAGAAGCAGAAATCTTCCTCAAGAAAGAAACATTAAACCAAAACTACAGTTGGGAGTTGAATTTAAGCTCCAGCTTCAAGTTCCAGGAGGAGAGTATGATTAACAGCATTTGAAGCAGGACCCACAAATTGAATAGGACCTGCAATTTCGATTAGGAGGAATGTCATAATTTAATCGAAGCAGTGCATGCTATTTTTCTTCAAGGCATTATTGACATTTTTTTTTTTTCAATTATCCACATTTAAATATTAGCAAATGCAAAGGGAAAAACAAATTAAAGGCCGCCAAAAGAGGAACATGACAAGGAAATAGATTGTTCTCTTTCGTTAATGGCGAGCAGGAAACAAGAAAATGATAGAGGTTGAATGTTTACTAACCAGGACTGATGTATCGGTTGTTGAATGCCCACTCATCCCTCAATGACGCGAACTTCTTGAAAGGTGCACCTGATAATTCATGAATCAAACTTTATTTTTAGTTTTTTCCAGTTGCAGATAAGTTCATGAAAGTGATTGACAACAGTAGGATACTATTCTAGTGATGATATTACTCAAAAAACAATGTTTCCTTTCACAGTCCTTACCATCAAGCTCCACCATTGCCTTTTTAATCACAGGTTTAAACTTGCCTGTCACAAAAATACAACTTCAGTAGCAATACAAGTACGTGAAAATCAAATCATTTGAACAGTCCCAGGTAAATAATATATTAGACTAAGATTCAAGAACCCTCGGGAAAAAGCTTATAGCCATATATTAAGAGAAAGGAACAACCTGAAGCTTAGAGTTGTCAATCATATTCTTTATGGAGATGAACAACCCATTTCGGGGAGCATGCAGAATAGGGAAGGAAAAAAAGAGGCCACACAAGAAAACAAAAACTAAAATTTAGACCCTGCATGAGGGAGATAAAAGAGTCTAAGATAGCAAGTTGTAGTCTACCATGTCTTCTCTCCACATCCATTAATGAAGTCAATGCGGTACCACCAACAGTCCACTCTTCAACAGGCGCAGCTAAATTCCCCACCTGGTAAATAACACAGAATATGCACAAAGATTTACCAACTATAGGGAAAACATATTGCAAGCAAAATTAGGAGTAAAGAAAACTGATATTTTATTGAAGAGTTTGCAGAGGGCAGCGATGGTATATGAGTAGAGAACAGGACAGACCGATGATATTAGTCCAGTTTTTCCACTCTGCAGAAGAGCTCCAGCACCATAACCCAATGCATAACAGTATGTGGAATCAAAATTGGTTGGTAGACCGCATCTCCCTTCATAGCTGCAAGTTGAAATTATACAAGGGGTTGTTGTAACATTCTCATTTTCCCATGCTGCTAAGTGTTGTACCATAAAAGAAAAAGAAAGAGATAGAAAGAAAGAAAACTGCAGTCCTCAAATAAAGTGAAGAATTCTTACCCAAAAAAGTGAGATTGCCCTTTAAATTGGCCTTTGTATACACCTTCACTCTTCCTCTTCTCCAACTCCGTCTCAACCATCTGAATAAGCATTTTCTCTGTTTCTATTCTAGCAACCTAAACAAGAAAAGAAGGAAAATATCATATCTAACCAAGAGGCACTTACACCTGGCAATCACAACAAAAAACAGAAAGATACAATAACTGTACCTGAACATTTCCATGTGGATCTCTTTCAAGCATCAACTGTTCTTGGATTGCTTGAGGCAAAAACTCAAAAAGTTCAAGAGATTGACTAGTGAGTTTCTTTTTCCATAATCCATCATCATCAACAATATCATGGGCCAAGATTTCATTTAGTTCTGCAATAAGTTGTTGTACCTGTAAGGCATTTAAGAACATATAATCATTAAGCACACAGCTAATAATGAGGGTAAGAAGACAACCATTACAGATTTTATGAGCAAGAAAATACCTCTGGGATGAAGTCAATAAGACCTTCAGGAATAAGTATAACACCATAGTTATAACCAAGTTCTGCACGTTTGCAGATAACATCTACAATGTAATCTGTAACACTTTTCAGCGTTTGCTTTTGAGCAGAAACCTACAGCAATGTAAAACTTAGTTGTTGGTACACTATACATGCAGCAAAATTCATAACCATCTACCAAAGTTTCTCGATCAATCATAATCTAACTAAGAGGCTTGATATGTTAAAATATGTCATGAAACAAGCATTTAGCATTATTTACAATAGCAAGAAGAGAATGTGAAGACACCATTTGGATAATGAAACCTTGTTCCCCTTCCCAAAAAAGTAGCACAATTGAAAAATGCAGCAGACGAGAGGTTGATAGTACCTCTTCCCCAATGATAGTAATGTTTGGATGAGTCTGCAAGGCACACTCTAGAGTGATGTGTGAAGCAGCACGCCCCATAAGCCGGACAACTGCAGATTCAAATATACAAAAATATGCTAATAGAAACACAACAAAGCAAAAATTACCGACCAATGTAAGTGATCCACACCCATGCTACAGCACTTACATAGAAATACGTACTTAAATTGGCAACCGATAAATGCCTCTTCTTGAGGTGACAAACATCTAATAAATTATGCATGGATAGAAAACAAAGCATGACATTTTAATCCATTTGGTGAAAATAGATGACTATATTACAATTTTGGGAGAATTTAGAAACTAGGATCATCAAATTGCAGCATCGGATGAGTTATATCACGGAATTATTATTTAAATTCATTTGGTGCTGCTCTTAAACCAGGGAATGAACCACCACTTCAAACAATTACAGAACGGATTTCCTTCATGGTACAATATGGTGATAAGGTAAATGACAACACTGTGGTTCTTAACTTGAATATTTTACTTACAATGATAATATTTTCCAGTTGATCTAGCATCTATCATGACATTACCAATCATTTCTGCATATATCTGAAACATTGAAAACATAAACTTCTTTAGTAGCGGTACATGAACATAGTAGTGCCAGTCAAATCTAGGCAAACTGTAAAACCCAGACAACAACTTTCTTCTCCCTGCAGGTAATATCAAGTATATATAGCTTTACTTCGTTAGAAATCTCATGTTCAAGGAAATGTGTTAACACTTTCAAAATACCTCAAGATACTAATATTTACTTTCACAATGAGAATAATACTTGAAAGAAGCATTCGAACAATCATAGGACAATGATATGTTAAATAACATCAAAAGCAATTACGCGCACGTTAAGAATTCAATAACATGTGAACAAGGCGAGATAAATGGTTTAATTACCCTGCAAGCTGTATCAAATCCAAAACTTGTAGGCACCTCTTTGCATTTTAAATCTCCATCAATTGTTTTGGGGCAACCAATGACCCGGGTCTTCAAATTTTTACCCCTGACCAGAAGAACGGGCATTACTTCACAGAACATACAATAGAAACAATTGAATCAATGTATGTACAAAAAATTAAATTTCGCCAAATAGAGCAGAGTGCCAATGTTGTTTTAAGGAGACACATGACATTATCTTCATACGCACCTGAAGTTTTCAGCAAGAAGACAGGCATTTGTGTTTGAATCGTCTCCGCCAATCACAACAAGCCCATCCAAATCAAGCTTTTTTACTGTTTCTTCAGCTTGTTTGAACTGAAAAATTCACCCGACTCAAGTAAGTAAAGTCCATATATACTAACATTATCCAAGTCACATGGACAAAACGTCACACCCTTGAGAAGCAAAAGAGAGTCTCACCTGCTCTGGAGTTTCAATTTTGTCCCTCCCACTACATATCATATCAAACCCACCCTGAAAAGAATTTGCAGACGAGGAAAATCAAAATGTTAATAATGTTATTTTTCCTGTTTACCAAGAATCATCATCAATTTCAACATCATTAGAAGTATTCAAACTTTCAAACTTGAGAAGCTCTCTAGGGTTTACCTGGTTTCTGTATGGGTAAATATACTCTGAAGTCAACTCCACATATTTAGATTTCATAATCCCAGCAGGGCCACCCCTGAAGCCATATAATACACTGCCTTTGACGTGATCCTGCAAGTAATCTGTTTCCAATACAGACTTAAAATCACTAAAACCCAAAGAATAAAAGAAACATTTAGTTCAAAGTAGATTTGCATATAAATTATCAAAATAAATTCAACAAATGTAAAATGATCATTACCAAAAATTCCAGAAATGACATTATGTCCTCCGGGGGCCTGGCCTCCAGACAACACGACACCAATCTTCAACTTCTTATCCGGTCGAACTTTGCTGGAATCGCATGGCACCAATTTTGCCGATGGCTGACCGAAGAGATTAGGGAATAGCTTCGCTATCTCGTCTGGATTAAAACAAGGCAAAAAATAAAAATAAAAACCCCTAAAATATTAGTATTCGTCCCAGTTTCATACCGAAATGGAATTATGGAAGGAGATACAAGACCCATGTAGCAAAAATTCACGTAAGATCTGTGAGATCAGAAACAGACACAGAAATATGAATGCAGTGAACTTAAAACCCAAACTCTAAGCAACTGCTTCCACGATTACTCATCCCGTTTGAATTGCTAGAAAGAAACTAAAAGCTCATTTCCTGATTGAGCAGGCAGACAACCAGATTCCTCAAGGATCGAAAGAAAGAGACACAATATGATCTAATAACACCAACATACAAATAGATCCCGAGAGTAAATGCTAAAACAGAGTACCTGGATTGCCAGCGGCAGAGCTCGGGGGCCCATCGACGATCGTAAAGGAACTTCTGAGAACAGAAGGTAGAGGAAGACTGTGGTCGATACGACTCGACTGGACTTCGCTATACACGGAGGAGACCCGGCCGGGCACGGGCGCGGGAGAGGAGTTGACGGCGGCAGCACCATTGTAGACGACAGAAATTGACATTGTAACTAGAGCAGACAGGACCACTAGGGAAAGAGAAGGGGTGCAAGAGCGAGACAATGATCTCGGTTCTGCTGGTTAAACGCCTGAAATATAGCGAATTGTCTGGACTGGACATTGTGATAGTGAACCGAAATGCCGTTGAAAATGGGTAAAATAGTCTTTCAGCTTGGACTCGATAATTTCGGTGTGCGTTGTCTCAGCGATTGGGTGAATGGCCTGAGGCTGGTTTAGGGTACCAAATTCGATTCTGTGGGTTGCGTTTTCAACGGCCCAAGTATCAGGTAAGCCCATGATGGGCCCATCGTAAATGGGCCTGGGCCTGGCCCAGAGATGGATGAAATGACGTCGTTCCAGGCCTCAGCATAACTAAACATAAAGGCAAAAAAACAAAACTTGATGTGAATAATAATATCGGGATGTCGTCCCTCATTATAACAAAACGTGGTGTCGTCATTAAAGTTTGCTATCAATTCACGTTGTTATGGTAAGTTTTGAGAGCAAGAGACACGACATGATATATATGGAAAGATATTCCCACCAGCTGTATAGAATCCTGATTTAGATTTTTCCCACATTCTTCCTAAATTTTGCAGCTCCCCAAACTAAAAAACCCATTGTAAAAAATTCAAACTTTTCAAGTAAACAAGAAGCAATTTGGCCTAAAAAAGTACAACTTTCAACTGAACTCCACCTGTCGATTTCTCGAGAATCGAGCTCGCCTGTGTACTCGACTATCAGTTCTTTTGAAATAATTCATCAAGTGGTCTATAAACTTGGTAGTTAGAAGGCATGTGAGAAGCCAACCCAAAACCTTCTTTTGCCATCTCTTTTTGAAAAAGAGATCCCCCCATGCGACAAATGTGGATATATATCAATAATCAAAACCATTCTTTTTTTAGTGTAATTTAGAGACATGGTGAAATCAACACCACTCAGTCGCCATAGATGCACTGAACAGTTCTCCCCTTCCATACCCACCCACCCTCACAAAAGAAAAATTCATCAAAAAAGCTTTCCATTTTCATGATTCCCTCTAAAGGAAATTATTAGAGGTCTACTTAAGCATAATCATTTCTTGCCCCCAATTCCTGTTCCCTCCCTGTTCTTCCTCCTCTCTTCACTGAAACATTCTAAATACAAAGCTGAAGAATTATTGTTTGACAAGACCCACTTTGCCAATTGTGCATAAATGATTATTTTCCCCTCAAATCCCCTTCAAAGTAGCAGGAATGAGAGCATCAGCCTCAAGCCAACGGAAGCAGCAGCAGCAGCAGAGAGGATACAGAGCATTGTGCTGTGGCTGCGGCTGCGGTTGCAGGCTGAGCGTTTCTTCTTCAGAGGAAGCGGAAAGCTTCAGCTCTGAGAAATTCCCATCGGTCTCCAGCATCGCCCACGCCATGGTTCAGGAGAGGCTCGACCAAATGATCAGGGAAAGGCGAGAGATAAGGCATGGAAAAGAGAGAAGGAAGCAGAGGAGTACTGAAGAGACCAAATTTGTTGTAATGGTGGCCATGGAGAAGTGCTCTGATGACCCAAGAGAGGATTTTAGAGTTTCGATGATGGAGATGATTTTGGCCAATCGAATTGATGACCCAAAGGATCTGCGGAACCTCTTGAACTATTATATCTCAATGAACTCTGAAGAGTGCCATGATGTCATTTTAGAGGTGTTCCATGAAGTTTGCAGCAGTTTGTTTTTGGCTTGTAAACGCCATTGTTAGGGAATTCAGCATTCTTTCTTACACGTGTCTAATTTTCCTTCTTCTTCATCAATAGCAAGAATTCAGAGAGAAACACCAAATTTATAAATAAAATTGGACTCTGATTGATACGGAAACTGAAAACCGGAAACTTCTGGATGAATCATGTGCCTATCAGTGGTCTCTCAATGGGTGGAGTAGGATTCTCCTCGATTATTGTTCTCTAATTAAAACGAAGTGAAAATAAGTTGATGTGACTCGATCAAAACAATCCAAAGCCAATTGAATGGTTCTTGTTATACAGTGAATAAGCAGACAATCTTACCTGATTAGCTTCATTGATGAACTTAATCACGAAGAATCAATCCCTTTTCTCATGCGACCGATTTCAAAGAAAGGTGTCGTTTTCAGTCTTTCTCTTGCTCTGTTTTCTCATTGAGTTTTCAGTGAGGAAATTTTTATGGACCACCATTATCCATCTTCCAGTCTTTCACTTTTAGATCCTATAAACTTCCTTTTCTCGAAATGATCAGATGGTAAATTGTTTTGAAGCTGAGTAATTATATCGATCCCCAAATTCGTAGTAATTTCTGAGGTTACTCCACGGAAATATCCACTGAAATCAAGTCATGAAGTATATGGTTTAACAAAGACCCAGAAAGAAAATGCTAATATCAAGGCAGTAGTTACAAGAGTTCGTTAGACGATTTAAAGATTTTTTTTCCCCCTCAAGTACTCCTTAAATTCCTATTTGTCTGGCATATTTGAAAATTTGGGTAACCAAAATTAACTGCATGCAAGATTTCTTGAAAGGTTGTTGCATCTAGAGAGAGGGCGGGCACGTTTTGTTCCTATGAACTTTTCAGACCTTCTATTTTACTTTGATTAGTATTTTTATCTGCTGACTTTCCTTAATTGTTTGGAGTGGTACAGATTTTTTTTTTTTTTTTCACCAACAGTAATTCAAGTGGCAAGTGACTACTTTTAACAGAAGATAACGGCTAATTGAAGGTCCGGTTGAAGGGAATTCCATTTACTATTTCTCAGGAGCAACTACAACACACTATAGCATCTTTAGATGATAATTCAGTTTCCTATAAACCCTTTATAAAACTGCATCCTCTCCTTGGAGCAGTAGAATATGGCGAGGAGGATAATGGTATCTAGGGGGATAAGAGAGCACTGCCTTCCTTGATGAGTACATACACACTACCGCCATCTCCCCGGGAAATTCGAAGATCTTCATCAAGATATGTAGTTAGCAACCAAGACTCCGCCTTGGTGTTTGAGATTGAGAACTTGATTGGTGGTTGGCTCGAAATTGTCTTTGCTACAGATGAAGCAGTGTTTTCGATGGAGGATATGATGCCATGGAATGGAGTAAGGTCAATCTTCTGTCCAAAAAACTCTACATTCTCTGGTATTACTAGTGAATCCGTCAGCTGGGGAGTCCCAATGACACCTTCTTCAAACTTGATCTGGAAAAATAGGTTGAGTATGAAAATAAATATTAGCTGATTACTAAGTCAAAGAGTTGAAATCACCCCAACAGACGAGAAAACCTGATTTTCTCTACAGTATATAGCTTACCTGTACACGCTGGGGACTCCTAACTTCAAATGTCGCATTTGTACTAATGGAAGTGGTGGCCAGAGGACCAGAAAACTGGACAGAGTTTTGGACAGTGAAACCCTCTGAATCAATAGTCTGTGAAATTTCTTCCACCTTGACTAATGGCAATGTACTCCTAGACAACAACGGGAACAGACCCGAGAAAGATGTGTACCTACAGCGCCAAACATTAATCACAAGAAACTTAAGAAGACTAAAAGTTTGAAAGGCAGAAATGCTGTAACTGTTGAAAGACAATGACACAATTGATGGTTGCACAGCGGCACAAGAGTACAGGCATCATGCCTGTTACCAACAAAGTGAAAACTATCAACCTCAACTAAGGGTGTAAGGGGGTTCAACTCAATCTTTTTCTTTCCCTTTGATTTTCAAGCTTCAAAACAAAAGATTTGAACTTGAAAAATAAAAATGAGGTTATCTGATTATCTTCTAAAATGTTATATAGATTACCTCTTGGGCATGTCAGGTGAAAAAAAATTTTATGTAGACTCTTTACTTTTTGAAGCTTAAGTTATAACCAAAAAATTAACATAACAGAGATGCTTACTGATCATCTTGTAGTATTAATATAGATTCCAGACTAAATAAAAATCTGATCAACACAATAAAAGAAGATGATACAAGACCAGATGTCAGGACAACACCAAGTCTAAATCCAATCACAGAGGCCAAAAGTAAAGGAAACTTTTACTGAATGGTCCCTGGATCTGATTAGTAGTTTTCTAGTTTAACTCATAACAATATGTCATGCCAAACTGAAAACTGCTGAAGCTACAACACCACATGGAAGATTCATAGGACTCCAAATATGACAATCAGAACCGACTTGTACAAGAATTTAGAACAAATATATAACAAAGTATGAAGGTTCAACAGGAAATAATCTAGATATTTGATTATCTCAGCAGACTAAGTAATGAGATCAAACTTGTTCTAGTTTCTCATCCATCTCAAAGTTACCAGGTACTGTTGACTTCGGGTTTTTTCCCAACTACGAAGTTCATTGACGAAGCTATCTATAAATTGTACTGTCAGAGAAGGAATTAAGCATGAATTGTATAATCAACTAGGTTATTGGTACTGCGATGAATTGGGCGTGTGGAGGGAACTTACGCGAGAATCCATTTGCCGTTAAGCAGAGATATGGCCTCTGTGGGAGCTGGTGTGGGGTTCTTCGCTTCCAGTTGCGTAATCAGCTCAACGATCTCCGCCCTAGTTTCGCTACTGGCTCCTAATCCACGATCGGTCCCGTAAAACGAGTCCACCAACGCCTTCTTCAGTCTATAAATCTCCGACGGCTCCAGAGGCTTCTCCTCCTCTTCAGCGACCGCCACACCCGACCCATCGCCGAACGGCTCCTCCTTCTCGTAGCCCCACTCGTCATCATTTTCCACAGCACGGACCTTGAACGCAGGTCTAGCCCAGACGAATTCCCTGGCCGAGATCGCTGACTTCCCCGCCGCTCTGGCGCCGGTGCCAATCGAATTGATGGTGAAAATCGACGGCTTAGAGGACAGCTGAGGGTGCGGCGGATTCAGCGAGAGAGTCTTGCACGGAAGTTGATTGAATTGAGAAACAAACGCCATTTTTCTCCACTTCTCCAAATCAGGCAGACAAAATGCAGCAACAAACAACTGCTACGTCTTAAAATCTTTCAAAACTAGCAAATGAGAGGGAGGGTTAAATAAATCCGAAAGGCAGCGCGAAAAGACTATTCTACCCTTGCTGTTCGCGATTATTCTGAAGTCATTGCCGATGTTTTGGAGGGCAGATATGAGCTTGGCTGATTGATACTTGCACGCAACGTGGTGTGTTCAGACTGCGACACGTGGCGATAGAGTTTGGGCAGGGAAGAGTACAGAGGACAGAGAAGGCCGCTTAAAACAAGCCAACCAGAAGCATGTGAGGCGCCAAATGAATGAATTCTAGACGGAAAATTTTCCAATCCTCCTGTACTACAAAATTTTCCCTACTCGCTCTCTAAAGTGTGCTATTTGTCTGTTATTATACAAATAAAAATTATATATTTTTTTAAATGTGATTCACATACTTATAACTAATTTATTAGACGGCATTTTATTTTATCATCTTCATATTTAATTGTTATATGTGATTTCTCATTTTTTCTTTATTTTTTGTTTTTCAGTTTTCATTCTTCTCCCATCAAACCAAATGTCCTCATTCTTTTTTTTTTCCTTTTTTTAATTGTTATTATTAAAAAATTTGTTGATATTTTCACTTTCTTCTCTTTTTTATTCTTGCCTTTGTTTCACTTCCTTCGAACAGTAGAATTTATATTTAAACAATTTTATATCTTTAAACTATATGAGACATCTCTTCTGGAAACTTTTCTTATGGTAAGTTTCAATATCATATCAATATTGCTTATTGTCTTTTATTGATTAATAGTTGTATTTCTCATTTGCACACTTAAGTTCTTTTTAATGAAATGTTGTCCTATCTTTTGTAATATACATGCATACATATGTTGCTTAAATATAAAGTATTGCTAAGTATCTACTTTTTAAATTTTGTTCTTATTTAATAATGCTTACAATTTCTTAATGCGTTTAACAAGTAAGTTTTAATTATAATATTTCAATGAGACAAAACAGCTCATTAATTATTTGAAAATATAGCTACAAATAAAAATGGGTAACAAATGTAATGTAATTATAATATTGATTAAATGTGACAAAACAATTATTTAATTATTTAAAAATAAAATTTCAAATAAAATAAATAAACATTCTTTCTTATTTTTAAAAATATACAAATGAAAATGGGGAAGAATATATAAATTAAAATTTGTAAAAAAATCACATATATTAATTAACCATTCCGTACTACATTTGATATGATTTGAACTCATTCGATATTGGCCTTCATTGAACATTTGGGTCATCCCATGATCGTTGGTTACAACCTCTTAATTGAAAATATATATTAAAAACCAATCCTAATATACATAATAGAGGGTTCCTTGTCCGACTTCAATTGCTGCTTCCCAACAAATATATGGGGTAAAAGTGGGGTCCACGTGTAATTTTTCGGATGCACGTGCTAGTGGCACTTGACAACTGGCAGCTACCAGTTCTTGTTAGTCATAAACTCGAACTTATATTTTTGTGGAAACAATTTTAAAAACTGGGAAAGTTCGGAAGAGCCCATTGGCCAATCGTGTATGTTTCACATGGGTTGTAGTACACGACTTTCTTTTAACGTTGGTGACATGTGATGTGATATTCTTTTTTTTTTTCTTCTTTTTTTTTTGCTTTCTTGACAATTTGCACAAATCACTGTTAAATTACGATGATTCTTATGATTGTAATTCCAAACTTTCAATTATAAATTTAGCTTTTACTAGCAGAAAAGTTGCACCTATAACTATTAATGTCTATAGAAACTCTCAAACGTAATCCTCCTCGTAAAAATTTGAGGTTTTAATTTTTACAATTAAATATTTGAGGATATAGTTTTTTCACGTTTAACATTTACAATTGAAAATCTGATGGTACAAATTTAACAATTAAGAATGGTTGTGCAATTTGCATTATATATACAGAAAACAATATAACAAATGTAGGGTGGAGTTTGTACCTCGAAGTTTTTGGTCTACTTTAAGCTCACCACAAGACCACTTGAAGACAAGTTAAAATTAAGGATGAAAAGAAAAGTCGTCAAGCTCAATGGTGTATGCGTCTCCAGCAATGTTTTAAATGCCGATGTCGATGTCGATAAAAATATTGAGTTCTCAATTTCATGAAAATATCGATAAAATGTCAATATCGATGGATATTTTTGTAAAAGTTAGAAAAATTAAAAAATCGTAACAAATATTTAAAATAACAAATAAACATTTTCCTATTTCTAAATTAGTTAAAAATAATTAATATTAATATTATGTATATATTAGTGATATTTTGTTGATACTTTTCATATTTTGTCCATTTTATTGTAGTAGGATGAAAATGTTGATTTACCCCTCATGTCGATGTCGAGCCCATGAAAGTATGGATATGTCAATGGAAATATCGACCTATTGACGAATATTTAGAACCATGGTCTCCGGGCCTTGTCATCCCAAATTCGGCCATATTTGAGCGTTCTACAACTGCTTCCTTTGATATCCAAAATTATTTATTCCTTCCAAAAATTATGCTTCCTTCCAAAATTATTACTTCCTTCCACAGATTCTCTTTATATAAATATTTACACTTTTTAAAAAGAAACAAAATCATAGAATTTGTGATTTTATTGTCGTTTATTTATAGAAAATATAATTTTTTTAAAAAAGTAACTTTTTCTTCAAACACTTATAAAATGGTGCAACTACCACCTTATTTTAACTTAAAAGAATTACTATACAAATATTTTTATCGTCTCTTTAGCCTAATTATTACCGATAATTTCAATACTTTATTTTATTGTCAATTTATATGTTGACATTAGATAGGTAACTTTGTTTTTTTATAAATTATTGTAGGAATGTTTTTTTTCTTCTCTATAACCTATGGGTTTTTCGAAATTTAATTACTCTAATTTACCTAATTTTTTAATTTGAATTCTGTAAAGTCTAAATAAAATCCTGTCAAGCAAAAAAAAAGTAGGCAAAATTCTTATATATATGTGTATATATAAACTTTTTTTATATATTATATATTCTTAATCTATTATTTCCAATCTATAAGACTATTTTTAAAATTCAAGAGTTACGTCACATACTTATTTGTAACTGTTTAAAGTTGTTTAAAGTTTATGAAGGATATTAGAAACAAATTTGAAAGTTAAAAGGACACACACACACGTATACACGTTCAAAATTATCTCAGGGTAAATTCAAATCTCTGACATTAAGTCCTGCATCCTTTACTGAACATGAGAGTACAACTTTAAAATTAAATGACATCTATTATTTTCTTTGTAGTCACGAAGTTCAAATTTTAATATCTCACTTTTTAAATACACAAACAAAGTAACGATTTTACCACGAAGAAAACACGGGTAGGTTTGAGTTCTCAGTTAAGATTGTGTTTTTAACCGGGACTGTTAACAGATAAAGGTTTGGATTAAATTAAAAATTATTATAAAAGAATATACATTATTTGCACAACAAAATTACAGAGGCCTGCTAACAAATGGACATTCAGCGGGCTTTATATTAATGGGCTGGCCCAATTTCAAGCCGAGCAATCTGTAATAACCCACATTCACTCACGTCCCAGTTCTCAGATGTGTAACTGCATGGTCATGTCAAGCTTCTGCTGGTCCAGAACCGACCCATTAATCAGAGAATTCAGAAGCACTACATGAACACCCATCTGTAATAGCATATATTTATTATTTATTAATTTTTAATATCTCGTCAATATCTCCTTTTTTTTCTCATCCTCTTCTAATTTTTTTTTTTTGTTTGTCTCACTTTTGTCTTTCCTATTTTTCTCTGTCTGATCCTCTCCAATTTTTTCCGAAAAAATTTCTTCTTATATTTTTTAAATTCAAATTTTTTGGTCTGAGACATATGTCGATTAATATTGAACTATGCTCGCTTTAGTTTTTGTTTTTCTCTCTACAACAAATAAAACTTGATATTTTGATTCAAACTCACAACCTTGTGAATGAAGGTATATGTCAATGACTGATGAGCTATGCTCGCTTTGGTACTGTACACTTATTGTTCATATTTAACATATAAATTTGTTGACTTGTGACGTCTTAATGATTGTCTTATCAGTTATCAGTCATTTTCCCTCTTAAAAAAATGACATTACCATCAACGTTATCAAAATGTCAAGCCAATTGCTAAATATTTCTTTTAAATAAAGCCACCATATGTCAGAGACAATTGTCTGTGACCCATATTCATGTCGTATCATTCTTATTCGTTTATATTTATAAACTATTTTTCCTCAATAAAAATAATCTTTTGTATCCATTAATTCAATTGTGACATGTAATTTTATTTGAAAGTTAATAATTTAAATTTAGGTTCAAAACTAGTTTAGGAGTTTCATATTCGAGGTGAGGCGCGTACCAAATTTTCATATGAATAAATGGAGAATAAGTGGAGGGAGTGAGAAAAAACAAAATATATATTTAAGGTGACTGTTTATAATATATTTACATCTATACTATAAAAAACAATAGGCATATTTCATATCCGAAATTAAAACGGAACATATATATTTTTCATCATCCCTACCCTTGCTCGTCCAAAACAATGAATTCCTTTCCGATTAAGGGAGGGATCCCATAAAGAGAAGTGACACTTTTACATTTACTTGGATTATTAATATGTTGGTTACTACTTTATAGTATTAGTTCAAAAGAGTATGAGAATGATTTTAACTTCCAATTTTTAGCGAGGAAAGTAATGTTTTGATTTTTTTTAGTACATGATGGAGTAGGTGATGAAGTAGGGATTCGAACATTTAGTCTCGCAGAAGATTATATTATGTCTTAATAAGTTGAACTATACTTAATTTAGTGTAATGTTTTAATCCATGGATCAGACTCATGTTGACTTTGACTATTTAATATAAACTTTAGTAATTAGTGGAGCATAATATCAATAATATGTTATGATTTAGTCTTTAGTAATTAGTGGAGCATAATATCAATAATATGTTATGATTTAATGTTTAGTAATGATAGTTCATATCTTATTAGCAATGATTTAACATTTTTATTTGTACAGTAAAGTAATTATAGATTTGCAAAAAGTTAGAAGGAGTTGTTTTCAATTATGATATTTATTTATATATTTTTTAATTAAATTATAAATGATCTTTAAACTTCAAATTCCATGTATAATCGGTTCCTTAATAAATTTTTAAACTTTGTGACTAACATATTTTTAATTAGCGAGTCCATTAAACATAAAATAGATTTTTTATATCTAATAAAATTTTAAACTTTCAATTTGATGCATAATAAATGTGTGAATATAAAAAATTGTCGATTAAGTTAAAAGATCTACGAAAAATACAAAATTAAAAAGTCAACTTTTAAGGCACAAATTTGAGAGTTATTTTTTAGATATAAAGTGAAAAGTTCACAAACATATCTGATATTTTTCTTCCTTCCTTATTAAAAAAAATAAATTAAGGAAAATAAATACCAACTCAAGATGGCATATATGTATCATCCTTTTTTATTTGGACGGTTTCCCTTCAGTATGTATAATTTTAATTTCAGAGATTTATGGAGATTTTTGGTCTAGTTGGAAGGGGTTATTGAGAAAAGGTTGCATTAGAGAATCTGACACTGATGCTAATCAAGTCAATATAGTTTGATATTTAGTATAAAAATAACTTGGATTATGTACCTGATGTTAGAACGAGACCCTCTATTTACACGAGGAGGATTCGATAGGGCTCCTGACTGTCTGTTATGCTTGTCGGAAAGTTCATTACCAAAAATCAACCTGTAGAGTACACAAAATCGGAATCAGGTATGACCTTCAATAGATAAGGTTCGAAATGCACTACGTGATTAGATCAAAAGGTCCACTGATCGTCCAAATTATTAGAGAAAACTTTGTTTTCCAAGCATCCATTGTTCTCCAGAGTCGCAAAACAATTTTTGACCACTAACGTCACAAACTTATGTAATTTCACAAGTGCTTGAATTTTAGCATTCGGAAACGTGTTTTAAATGTGTTGACCCGAAGTAATTTTAACAAAATACTCATATACACATACAGCTGTGCTACAATTTTTAAAAAAATTAAACAATAATGTTTATCTTGCCTATTAATTATATTTAAAAATCATATTATAACATGAATATATTTTCAATTATTTTAAAAATCGTCATATTTAAATATAAGTCACACGTCTTATTATTCTCGTTTCCAGCATTATTAATTTGATACATATATACCTGAACCCGACCTCCGACGCCGGCCTCAATGGCTGTTGACTTCAGGGCGGCCGGCGAAGGGAGACCGCCCTGTCCAAATAATCAAACAAAATGTATAATTAAAGTTTGAAACCCCTACTTTAAGTTGATTTTGAAGATTAATTAATAAATTCATTAACAGTATTATAATTGTTTAGCAGTCCAATGTGTGTGGTGCCGCATTTCCCAAAGAAATTAAGAAGAAAGAAACAGAGAGGCTCCGTAAACTGTAAATCGCCTCCACTTCCTCAATCGCTTTGTCTTCTTCTCTTCTCTCTTAATTTTCGAAGCTGCATTTAAGATCCTCACGATTCTTGTATTTTTCTTGTTCGTTTCAATTACGGGGCTCCCCCAACTTAAACTGAGAGGTGGATTTATCAGAATCTTTCAAGAAACTCACGAGATCTCCATGGCTAAAGGTAGGCCTCCCCCTCCGTTACGTTTATTCTAATCCGAACTAACTTTATACATTTCCCCCAATCCGTCGATTCGTTGCAACGATTTTGATTTAATTTATTCGAATTTTCTCTCTGAATATTTTGGGGAAAATGAGTCTCCTCAGTGTGATTTTACAGGAAGCGGCGCGGCGAGAGAGGGAGGCTAGGACGATTTGGGGATTTCTGAGCGAGCAAATGGACGACGGTGTCGATGGAGGAGGGAGGCGGCGGAGGACTCTTAAGCAACGCCTCGGATTCAAGGTCATGGGCTGTTGTGGTGGTGTTGCTACTTGGGGGTGTCGGCCGCCGGCGGTGAGCGTGAGAGGTGGAGACGACGACGACGACGACGAGGATGACCGGAGAGTACCAGACGCGGAGGTGATGAACACGCGCCCGTCTCCGGAGGAGAGGGATTTGGATCGGAGTTGCCTGAGTCCGTTTTCCGGTTCGTCTCCGGCGCCGTCGGGAATGAACCTGGCCACCGCTCTGGCGGCGGAGCGTCGTTTAAGAGCGTCGCCACGAGGAGCGGAGGGAGGTTTGGTGGAACCTAATAACGACGAGTTCGATTCACTGGCCGGAATAGCGGTAACCGGAACGCCGTTGAGAGTGTCGTTATTGAGGCTTTTGGAAGAAACGGACGGCGGTGGCGGGGTGGCGGAAAAAAAGAGAGAAGAGGCGGGAAATGATTCGGTGTGCTGCGTGTGTATGGGGAGAAAAAAGGGAGCGGCGTTTATCCCATGTGGGCACACTTTTTGCAGAGTGTGTTCGAGGGAGCTTTGGTTGAATCGAGGATCGTGCCCGCTTTGTAACCGTTCGATCCTCGAGATCCTCGATATATTTTGAAGTTGCATGATAAGTATGGTGCGGATGACAACAGAGGATAGCCGGTGACGGAAGTGCTTTTGCCTCAAGATTCGAGACAGACTGTTTTCATTGGACGGCACTGAACGATGCCGTATCTGGGCGACATCTGGATGCGGGTGAGAAAATTTTCACTGTACGAAATTAAATTATTAGTTTTGATGTAATTGATAAATTTAAACTTTATATACAGAGGGCTGAAGTTGAACAGCAACTAATACTTTGGTTGGTGGTTGATTTTTATTTTCTTTTTTTTTTTGTTTGACTTGTATATGGATTTATTTTTCTTCTCCGTGCTCGTATTTTAGTTTAATTTAGTTTTTTTAATAATTTTTGTCAATATGGGTGAGTTTTGGGTGGCTTATTTAAAAAATTGCAGATTCTCTTTATAAAGTTGTTGGCAGGCCAAAACTGTAGGAAAAAAAGAAGTTGAAATAATGATCAATAATAACACGAGTAGGTGGAATAACATTATCACTCTAAATTTCAAACATTAATAATAATCAGTGCAAACTGCAAAGTAATCTTCTTCTTTTTTTTTTTCGCTTAATTTTTCGTAGGATATTTCACCCAAAATCTCCCCCTTTATATCTTGTATTATAGTCTATTTATAGGAAAAATAAAAACAAAAAAATTCGATTGTGTTTCGAGGTCAATTAGTTAAAAGTTTTAGTAATTTTTTTTATCTTATATACACACATGCTTATAGACTTTTCTAGCTCCACATAATCTTCTTTCTTCCTAAAAAATATATGTATGTATTAAAAAAATTAATATGTATGTATTAAAGAACTATTAGGGGGGACAGTTTGAGATTGGAAAAATGAGAGATTTTTTACTTAATAATTTAGAGAAGAAAATCACCAGGTAAATATATCGTATACATTAGAAAGTAAAGCGATGAAAATAAAAACATATAGTGTTATAATTATTCCTGTAGATTAGATATAAACTTTGGAATTTTTCATTTTGTTACAATGCTTGCATCCGGTATCAACAACTAGCAGTGCACAACGGTTTGATTTTTTTAATTTTGGCTAAATCGAAAACTGAACCGATACATTCAATTTTCTGAAATACAAAACTGAACCATTGTTCAATTAACTAGAAATAGATCGGTTCAGTTATACACCGTTCGATTTTCCTCGGTTTGATTCCCTCGATTGGACTTTGTGATATCTCATTTTTATTTATTTATTATGGCCACGTTTTCATCCCACGTAATTTATAGACTTTTTGTTTGAGCTCAAAACCACCCTGCAATATAACTGGAGTTACAGAAGAAAGCTTAAAAGATTGAGAAGAAAACAATTAGCCGAAAAAAATATAATCTCATCTCAGGAAAGGAAAAGAAAATCTTAAAAATGAATAAGACCAAAGAATAGGATGTGTGTCATATTTTCCAATTTGATTATATATCTTTAATTATAGAATAGTCTAAGAATTCGTAAACTTCATAACGGGGAATATCTTGGCATATAATATAAGGTGTGCCTAATTTTATCCATTGAGTTCTTTCTCTAATATGTGAAAACCCCTTTTTTTTTTAATTGTGATTTTAATTTTTTTATTTATATTTTAAATATGATCTAAAAAATATTAAATTATAACAAAATTCAAATCTCTAAACACAATTTATTTTTTGAAGGAAAAAAATATTGTTAGAATAAAGCTACATGTTCAACATTTGAATGATACCTCCCTTAATAAGATCTAAAAGCTACGAAGGAAAGGAAGAAAGCCATAGAGACGTGGCTAAAGAGGAAACCCAACGCTTTGTCAAGATGAGCAGGTTTGTTACAATAAGGGTGTGGAAAATGAGAAAGGAAGATGGAGAAAAGGTTAATTAGAGTTAAGTTTTCACTTCAATCAACTAGTTTTTTCAACTCTTAGAGTTGAAATCTCACCTCGCCTCAACTGAATTGCTAAAAGAGAGTCGGACTACACCGGAAGGTTGAAAAATCAATCAATAAACACAATTTATTAATTTAAAGTATAATTTGAGATAAGAGCATATTTTTAAAATCCCTCGCCCCATTAAATAAAAAGAACAAATTATTTGCTTAATTAATAAAATAACAATGCATATATAAGCAACAAAAGGCCAACGCGAGCATAGCTCAGCGGTAATTGACATACACCTTCGATCGAAGGTGTGAGTTATAATCCTCTCCCCCAACGTGTTGTACTAAACCAAAAAAAAAAAAAAGAGAGAAAGTAAAGTTCTGTGGGCTTGGCCGGCCATTCTCACTCGTGGACTCACCAAACTCACGGGCCCTGGAGATGGGCCCTATATTCTCAAAACAATAATTGGGCCTTATTAATTATTTTGGCCCATCCTCGTATGTTGCACCAACTACGAAGAAGCATAGAATGGGTTTCCCATTGATGGTTTAAGTCGAGTTTGGTGAAGATATTTTTTGATAAAATATGTCATCATAATATGGAATCCATGTAGCTTACACTAAGATATAATATAACATCGTAAAGAATACAGATCTTTGAGATTCACTAAAACATTAAATTAGAAGAATGAATGATATATAATATGAATTGTAGTTGGTGGTTGAAGTGGGAATTAGGACAAATTCTGCCACAAATTGTTGGAGGGGGAAATGATTTAAAAAGTGGTGAAAATGAAAGAAAAAAGAATATGATTCTCGGCGGCGAGGATGAAACTATATACTATCAACAATAAAAATACAAATCGAAAAAGAAAATATAAGAAAGTAAAAGAAAAGGAACTCAATTGGCTTTCCTACATAATTCTGAAATTTTGGGTTTTGATTTTGGTCGATTCCAATTCCATTTTTCCAATCGTGCGGTATATTTCCCTTTTACAAAGAAAGTAAGCAACAAACATCACTTTTTTCTTTTTTCCTTTTCGGTGTAGAAATAAACTTCTTTGTAAACTGTTGATGGATGGGATCCACCAACCAAAATAATAAATTGTAGATCCAATATCTAACTTTAGATTTGCTTTTAGGCTAATTTCCAGGATATTACACATAATCCTAATTATTATATTATATTCTTATTTTTTCCCCTTCCCCTTATTATATCTAAAGCTGCGAGATTTTACCCCTTTAGATGCTCAAACTTATTGATAATCTTACTTTTTTTGTTTTGTTTTATCGTTTAAAGAAAAATGAACTACCTTTAATAATTATTTATTGTTAATTGTTTTTTCTTTTTTATTGAAGAAATGAATAAGAATGTGTTTTGGTAACTATTTTTTAGTTAATTATACCCTCCAAATTTAGATTAAAAGAATAAAAACTTTAGTGGAAATTCCTACTTAACATAAAATATTTAAAATTAACCTGTTTGTATATATGTGGGTTGTGCATTTTATAAGTAAAAATTTATATAATTATGATAATTGTCTATATTTCTCATTCCCCATTTTTAAGAAAGGTTCGCAAAAGTGTATACACATCCTCGAAAAAACAAAAATAAGTTTATTGTTTATAATTTTCATTTCCAATTTCTTTTTTTTTTTCAAAAGTATGAATAAGGACATTATTTTCTCATTTTCTTAAATACTTATAGAATATAGGATAGATATTTGAAATTTTAAATATAACATCAAAATTGATAATATTTTATATTAAAAATTAATTTTCATGAATGTTTTTTACTTTTGTAATATAATATTTGAGATAACAAGAACTAAGAAATTTATGGATATATTAAACACATTTTTGTTTATTTTTCCATGGTTAAGAAAGAACAAAACAAAAAAAAGTTACCAAATACAAGTAAACTGTTTTTTCTATCTTAAAAAAAAAACCAAGAAAACAACCAGAAATAAGAAAGGACCTAGATTTTCTTATTTTCCGAGGATGTTTATAAAGAATAAAAAACAAGAATATGTAACAGATACCTATATATAATTCTCAAACACAGGAAATAATAAACAAAAGAATGGAGAAATATTTACCTACTAATCACATAAAGTCAGTTTGACCATGTTTTTGTTTTTTATTTCTAATTTCTAATTTTATTAAAAATGTCTAAGCACATGATAATTATTTATGTTTTTTTGCTTCTCATTTTTTTTTTCTAAAAACATTTTTTGGAAATTTTGGAAACAACAAAAGAAACCTCTCATTTTTAGTTTCTACTTTCAATTTGTTCTAAAATATAAATAAAAATATCGATTTATCATTTTGAATCTATAAATATTGAAGTTCATACAATTTTATTTCTCTTTATAAAATAAAAAAAGAAAACAAAAATAAGAAGCAGAACATTACCGAATCAACTTTAGTTTCCTAAAATGTTTCAATGATGTCGCGGAAAATGCAACTATTTAGTAAAAATAATGCAATTTACAGACTAGTGTATATTAACTTGAGTTGAAATTTATTTTGGCGACAAAATCTCTTATTTATAAAGTAAGGAAAAAAAAAGGTTGAAAAGTGTAGCTAATACGTTTAGAGAGAGAGAGAGACGTGTAAAGTGAAAAAGGGTGGTTTTGACTTTTGACCACCCCATTCTTGGAGCTAGAACCATCCATGAAAAACTCTCTGTGTAAAACAAAATAAATAAATAAATAAAACAATAAAATTCAATGTCACTTCAACTTCACACCCAATGGAATCACCTGTCTTTTCCATCTTTTTTACTGATTTAATTTCTTCCTACCTCCACCCCTTATTGATTCAAATGCCTAGAAAATTTTTAACACATAAATATCGAATATCAATAAATATTTTTGTAAAAATTTGAAAATTTTAAAAATTGTAAAAAATATTTATTTATTATTTTTCTATTAAAAAGTTAAAAATGATTAATATTAATATTATGCATATATTAGTGATATTTTATTGATATTTTTCATATTTTATTGATGTTTTTGTAGTATGATGCAAATGTCGATATCGAACTTATAGATACATAAAAATGTTGATGCATCGACATANTTTATAAATAAAAGATCACATACGTACTATTATGAAAAATAAAAAATGTATTTATGATTTTTCTGAAATCTAACCTATTTTTTATGTATTTAAAATTGTATTTTTCGAATGACGAAATGGATATTAATTTTAAAAAAGGCCATCCTCCAAGCCTCAGAAACTCAGAATCTGTCGGCACGTGACTGCCTTACAATGCATGTGGTTGGGCAAGTTTGATTTATACTGCCGCTTTCGCATCCAATCACCCGACGCATGCACCTTCCTAACCGACAGATTTCTTTTCTTTTATGTTAGGTTTAAATATTTTCAAAA